GTACTCATTACCCTCTCGACCTGACCATTTGCACGGCTGCCTCCAGCAGCTATCAGGTGCAGCTCGATGCTATTAGAAGTACAGAAACTAGAAAAATCTTTGCTTGCGAAACAACGACCCTGATCTGCTATTATGCGTTTCGGTGCACCAAACAGAGCTATACAGAAATTAATAGCACGAATACTACTATTAGTGTCGATGTTTAGCGAATGACGAAGTAGCACAAATTTGGTAAACGCATCTAATATGACAAACACGTACTCCTTGATGTCATTTTTCCCAGATAATTTACCAGAAGCGTCAATATGGATTGTGTGCCATGGGATATTGAACTTGGGAATCGGGTGCAGTTCCGCTTGAACTTTACCCGAGTGGGGCTTCGCTACTTTACATGTGATGCAGTTGTCCACAAATTTCCTCACATATTTCGACATGCCTTCGAACCAGTAGTGTTCGTAAATCTTTTCGAGAGTTTTCTCCCATCCTAAGTGCATGACAGACTCATGGACGTTATTAATAACAGACCACCTAAGCGATCTAGGTACAATAGGCAGCCATCGAGTGCGACCGTTACGCTGAATTTGGCGATATAGAATGTTTTTACGAACTTCGTAGGTTTTGCGAGTTTCCTCAGGAAAAACTTCGTTACGAAGATCAGAAACGATCTTACTAATCTCTTCGTCCTTTTCCTGTTCAGCTTGCAACCAGTTACTAGAAAGCTCAGCTAAATCGATACGCTTTTGTTCCACACGAGTGAAAGCCACTTTGGGCTTAGGGAGGGGATTTCTAGACAGGAAGTCTACATGGCTCATCCTACTGCCTTCACGATGGACGATATCAAACTCAAATGACTGCATGTAGGCCCACCAACGATGAACTCGTGGAGACAAGTCAGTTTTGCTTTTAGAAGCTTTAACAGAACTGCAGTCTGTCACAACGGTAAACTTACGACCTAGCAAATAATGTCGAAAATGCTTTATGGCATTGAACACAGCTAACGTTTCTAACTCAAATGAATGAAACTTTGATTCGGCTGGGGAGGTACGACGACTATAATAAGCAACCACATGTTGTATCCCATTAATCTTTTGAATAAAAATAGCACCATATCCTTCAGCACTAGCATCGGTGTGTAACTCTATTGGATGTGCAGGATCAAATATCGTTAGAATAGGCTTACTGGTTAAATAAGAAATAATTTTCTGACGAACAGCCTCATGGCTAGGTTCCCACTCAATGGACCTGTCCTTGCCACTCGTTAGACGAAATAGAGGAGCCATCGTTTTTGAGAACTGTGGCACAAATTGTCTGAAATAAGTGGCCAGCCCTATGAACTGTCTTAGCTGAGTGATGGTTTTAGGCGGGGGAAGTCTGGACAAAGCTGCAATTTTATTTGGGTTGGGACTGATTTGGCCGTTCTCAACAACAAAGCCTAAATATTCTACCCGTCGCTTAAGAAAGGAACACTTAGCAAGATTTAGGGAGAAACCAGCTTTTGTTAATTTATCTAGCACAGTGCGAAGACGAAATAAATTCTCCTCCACAGACGATCCTATCACTAAAATGTCGTCGACGTATGTCACAGCATAGCTGTTAGCAAGATCGCCTAATGCCTTCATCACTGCACGTTGATAAACTGAGCTGGCATTTTTCAAACCGAACGGCATGGTCAAATATTCCCACTGACCATCAGGTGTGACGAATGCAGTGCGCTCTATCGATTCAGGATGCACTGGAATCTGGTGATAGCCTGACAACATATCGAGACACGTGAACCATGTAACACCACCTAACCTAGATATAAGGTCCTCTATCAACGGCAGTGGAAACCTATCCGATACAGTGTTGTCGTTCAGTTCCCTGTAGTCGACACACATGCGATCTGAACCATCTTTCTTCTTGACAAGCAACACTGGACTAGAAAAGGGTGAACAGCTTGGCCTAATAATACCTGCTTCCTCTAGTTCACGAACTTTAGCAGTAACAACTTCACGTTCGTTTGCACTAAGCCTATAAGGGCGACGTTTAACCGTTCGACTAGGATCTATAAGCCTGATTTGCAACTGTCCTGTCGTTACACGGGATTTAGGTACACCATTAGAAAACGAAGATGAATATTCTGACAAAAGATCCATTAATTGGGAACGAAATCCTGGCGGAACGTCTGTGTCAACTTTATTTGAATCAATTTGATAATTAGTATCCGTCTTGGGCTTATTTGAAGCATCACATAATCTCACAACCTTATCACGACACAAAACAACGCTATGAGACGTCATACTAACGTTGAACCCCTGATCTAAAATCTCGCGGCCGATTAAGATATCATTTTTAAGACAACTATCCGGTACAACATGAAATAATATCTCTAACCGTAAATCGTTAATTATAACTTCAGATAAAATTTGTAGAGTACTTTGTACGCTAACGTGACCGATTCCGGTTAAATTTACAATATTATTTACTCGCTTGCCACTAAACTTTGACGCAACACAATCTTTGATCAGAGAGCATTCGGCACCAGAATCGTAGTAAAATGGGTATGACTCACCAGCATTCATCAGCACACCGCTGGGATTGCTGACATAACAAACGTCAACACGTCGCTCACTGGTTGCCGCTGCGGCAGGCGCTACCCCAGAACTGCTTGATCCACCCGCCGCGCTGGTGCCCGCACTATTGCTTCGTGGACATTTTGCTGCAAAATGCCCGGCGTTGCCGCATCGAAAGCAGATGATGTCCAAACGCTGTTTTGGTCCTGAAGAACTTGACGCCGAGATGGTGGTATTGGCTGTTTTGCTTTTCACCTCATTTCTTGATCGACAGTCAGATGCTCGATGACCTAGTTTACCACAGTTGTGACACTTCAGTGTTGTCGACTGAAACTTGGATCGCTTGAACTCTGGAACGGCGTCGGTTGAGTTAACCGTTGAAGCTTTCCTTTTCAAAAACGAGAGCGCTTGAACTTCACACTGCAGCTTGTTCCTGTTGTTGACTTCGGTAGTAAACACCAGCCTCTGAATACGCCCATCAAATTGTGCCATGTGAGCAAGCACCGTAGATATGGCAATCTGCTCAGTGCTCATGTTTTGCCAGCGTGATGTGAGCGTTGAAAGCAATCGGGCAGCGTACGCGGCATAACATTCACCTTCCTTGGGCTTGCCATTCATCATTTTGACAAGAGTAGCGGCTGGTGTGTCCACACAATCGTACCGGGATAAAAACAGGCTTTTGAAGTCACACCATGTCATCCCCGCAAACGACACTTGCGCCAGCCAACGTGAAGCACTACCTTTCAGAGCCTTGCTTAGGGTAATTATTAGAGCACTTCCCCGAAGCGGTACCTCCGATAGGCACAGATCCGCTGTAGTACACCAGGCACGTGCGTCTACATCCGGCTTATCAGGGTCAAATTCAGGCAGAGAAATATACTTGGTACCTGCCGGGCCCTTGATGGCTTCTATCAAGGACATCATATTCTGGTTTTGAGCAGCCAGCAACTCCCGAAGCATGTTCTCGTCGCACCGTGACGACATCGCTCCAGTCTCCGTGTTTTCTTCAACTCGGGTGCATCCCACTTCTGATGTCGCGTCATGGGTGGCCGAGATGCGAAGCATCGGGTTTTCTTCACGCTCCGACATGGTTTTATGTAAATGTGGGCACACGAACGAAAGATGATTTAAATCAAAAATAACTTTATTTAGACTAGTGGTTGTATACGAGAAACAAACACGTGCGTCGGTAGCGAGCGTCCGCTCCGGCCGTCCGAACTCAACTGCCACAACACTCGGTCCCTTCTCTAGCCCTCGCTGCATCCCCTCTACCGACGATCGTGTCCAAGCGGTAGGGCGCGCTTGCGTTTCCGGTAACGATATTATTGATTCGCAAAGCTAATTGTTAGATGGCGCTGCTTGTAGCACTATGGCGCCATCAATCCACGACATGTATGTGTAGTCTTTTTCGTTTGATATATTAATAGTATAGTTGTAACACGAATAGTTCGGCTCGACCCGGGAAGGACCACGCTCTCACAGAATACCAGCGTAAAATAGCAGCGTAGTACTGCTGTGTTCGAGGACGACCTTACTACTGGAAATGAGGCATTCCATGTTAGTCGTCACGGGTGACAACGCAGATGCATTTTGATTCGTTATCGAGAATAGATGTAGATGTCTTTGGGCTACAGCATCCACTTACTATCAGGTAGGTTGTGCTTGTTTACCACCCTATCCTATAAAAAAATAAACAGATTTCATAAATAAGCGAAGTGTGGCGATATGCTGGAAGTCGATAGATGCCGCATCTATCGACTTCCAGCATTAGGACCTTGCTTTATGGCATTCTTAGGGAGATTATTTGTTTTTCCCTTAAATTCTTATATATAATATGAAATTCAAACACAAACCTAGTCCTTTTAAGGGTACCTATATCACATCCATCATAAGTAGGCTAGGCAAATATATTAAGTTAGGTATTATAGTAAAAAAGCTTTAAAATTGTATTACCTGTAACAAACTGCTGATGTGTCAATCAATCAATCAATTACACCTCATGTAACCTTGGAATAACATTGTTCAATACTCAATACATTTATCTACATCTCAAGTTATTTAGGTGTTACCTACGTATAGTATAGGAATTATAATTACGTGGACCTGTTAGGCTATCTCCTGGTTCTTTTGTGAAAATTTGTGTTTTAACATAGTAATGTTTTAGTAGTTTTTATTTTGGAAGATGATGTTCCTATGTTCAGCAGTGGACGTGTGAAGGGCTGTAATGATAATGATGAGGAACATATATTACAAGTTATACTTATTGAAAGTGTTTTATGCTTTTACTACGATAAAGCTATCCTTGTCTGTAGTTATCGTTATTGACTCTAAGTTTATTTGTGATTTAAGTGTTAAGAAGTAAACGGTTATTAGTGTGTTAAAATAGAGTGAGAAATTTTTAATTTCTGATACGTATTATTCAAGCCTTTCATATGTTATTTCATGTAGATGGATACCTCATGGAGTGAAAGACGAATGCGTAACAAACGGCGCTAAGAAAGCAATATGGAAATGTGTACCAGTTAGTAAGTATAACCTAATGCCGTGTTTCCATATTTTAAAAGATTTTCGTTTTTTTTTTACGAGCTGTTTCACAAGTGCATGAAAAACTCTTTTGTAAACGAAATACTAGTTCCACATCTTACGTACAAGCGGAAATTATGTATGTATCAGTCATCTTAAGTTGCCAAACCTATAGTTTGTACCTGCCTGTTTTAAACTATTTTTACATTCTCTTTATATGTAATTAAACGGATCGTTATCGAGAACGAAACGTTTCTTTAATATAAGATTATGGTATAAGTATGACGACCTCATCTATTTTTATTTTAGTACAGCAGCCACTTTGAAATTAAAAGCAGTCATCTATTTACACTTCTATACTAATATAATAAAGCGGAAGATTTTTTTTTGTTTGTTTAAACACACGCATCTATGGAACTACCAGTCCGACTTGAAAAAAATGTTTTTGTGTATGATAGCCTGATTCATGAGGAGAAGCATAGGCTACTTATTGTTAGGCAACACCTCTCAGTTAGCTTTAAATAATGTTTTTTGTTAAGCAAGTCGGAAGAGAAAGCGCTAATGAAATACTTTATACCTAGGGTCGTTGCGCTGGTTTTCGGCCTTTTAGTGGAGTTGTCAACTTTATATAAAAAATAATAGCGATTATGTTGACCTAGTGTTGTTAATGTTAATTTATAGCTTATATAATGTAGTTTTCATTTTGATAACTCATTGATGCTACAAAAAGAAATCTATTTTTTATATAAAATTTTGATGTGAAAAATATGCAAAACGCTAGTTTTCGGCCCCAAATTTTAGATTTCGGCCTACAAGAATTTTAGTTTTCGGCCACTGTATTAGAAGAGGTACTATACACTTAAAAGTGTTTTTGTAAAATCAGAAAATGGCAAAACGGTTTGGCAAATCGGTGTATTTAGTTTTCTCAATCGGTGATTGCGATTTTTTAACCGTGACTTTATTTTTTTCTTTTTTGGGTGTGTTTTTGATATAAAATAATAACCATGATTAATTATTTCTCTTTGAATCATAATCTAATAATAAAATCTTTTAAATATAGAAATCAAATATTCTCATTTACGAGTATTTTGTACTTCCTCATAAGTATTTTAGTTTAACAAAATCTGTTACCATATCTAACCATTCTTATCTCTAAACAAGAGGAGCCATCTGAAGAAAAAAAATTTCTTATTGAATCTTCTTCCTAAAACGCAATGTGAATAAAATATTTGATATGATAAGATGAAATGGCCGTAAACGTAAACTAAGACAGCATTCCATTTTCCGCCGCCGTATTCTTTCATACAATTTTAAGTTGGCCGAAAACTAAATTGTATATATTTTAGAGTCAATCCAGTTTTCGGCCACGACTGAAATGGGTATTTTGTTTCATCACTAACTGTTCAAATTGCAGTACTTGGTGGCCGAAAACTGAAAGTTAGTGTCTACGCACGCTACGATTCAATATAAGTAAGAAAGATGAGTTATAGTACGTAACCAAATAAACGAAAGAGACAAAGTATTTAGGCTAAACTCAGGCTACTTTTCGGCCGCATGGCCGACAACCAAATAATGGGACAATTTTATGTGTCACTTTTCGGCCACTTAATTTATTAACTTTATCAATAAATAATTATAATAATCAGTGTCAAATAACTATATTAGGTTATTTATACAGTGAAATATAAGCACAATATTAAGTAATTATATTAAATACAGCACGAAACTTACTTTTGAATGGAACGCATTTTGATAGCTTCAGTGTCGGCGTCAAACTAAACTATTTATTATAAATCGCGTGTTGTATTTACCTGATTAATTAATGCTACCAGATATAGTGAAACTATTTACAAATGCATTAAACTGTATTTCTTACGATAATATTTATTAAAATTGTTATTAAATCAAATTTACTGCATCAGCTCGTGCCAAAGGCCGAAATCTAGACCCGGCCGGCTTACCGGCGCATCGACCCTACGCGTGCGCTGGCTTAATGGCTAGTGATACGTTAATACAGTGCTCTACAAAAATATTGACCTTAACTGTAATTAAAAAAGTAAGCAATAAGGTATTTTATAACATAAAAATATTGAAAATTAAAATTGAATTATGAGCGTTATTGCTAGACATGTCATATTACTTTAACTTTAAGAATCAAAGTTACTTTACCTATAACTTTGCTCTTTATAGTATGTATTTTGGACGCATAGTTTGAGAAATAATACAAAATTAAAATAATTCCACACTCTGCGTGACGCGCGAACAATGCATAAGATGGTCGATGAGAACCGTAACGTATGCGCGAGGTGTCGTGTTGCGTGGCTCCGAAGCGTGATATACGCGGGTGAAACCGCGTATATATAAATATAAAACATATAAATCTCTAACTGGGAACATCAACTAGTAGTGACGTTCCAGTAGATTTCGAATTTGAACGCAATTTCTTCTCACATTCACAGCCCACTCTACCTTGAGGATAGCCCTAAGCCAAAAGCCCATTTCCAAAGTAGACTATTTAAGTCTCCTATAAAAATTGGCCATCCTGAAGGTAGAGAGAATTAATTCTCTTAGTATTTATTATCTTTTATGGAATATATTGTAATGCCCTCTCAGACTACGATTTCGACGGCCATCAGTTCGACAACATACGTTGGATGGTGGACGACATAGCTGTGGTGAAAGTTGAGGACGATTTCAACTTCAACCGTCGAATCCTCGGCTGCGACTTCATACCAAAGAAAATCAGCTACAATAACCGTAGTGCGGACTTGGAGAAACCTGGTACAGTCGGCTCTGTCGCTGGGTGGGGATCGCAGGATAGGTTTAGCGACGTGATCAAGGTATAAACATAGTACGTGAGGGTAATATGGTCATCCAGTTAATATTGTCACTTGCTTTTAACTCCAAAACTACAGCCTTATTTGCATAGATGACGTTGTGATACGATTGCTCTTCATCGGTCAATCAATTAATAAAGGGTCAAAAGGGAGATGTTTTGTCGACGCCATTTTGACAGTTGACATTATAGTAGATATCGTGGTCAATTTTAGTATAGTGTAGTGTAGTTATTTTTTAATTAGTTTTTTCGAAGTGTTCCTAATTATTGCCCAAGCTTGTTTGCAATTTTTTTCTTAATGTATTGGTTATAGTATACGACTTTATGTTTTTGTCTCTGTCCTTCTCCTAGTTTTGGTTTTAAAGGCTCAGACGAAATAAAAACTCAAGACAGAGCGCTGTCAACAAAGAAGTGAGGTCGGTTTGGTAAACATGTGTGCTGCAAGCGAGTGTTGCCGTGCAGTAAAAATTTATTACCCTAATATATTATTGTCTAAGTACTATCAGGATGAATGGATAAGTAAAAAGATAAGTTGGCAATATTTTCAATTGTATACCTCACTTTAAGAAGTAGTATGAAAGTATAATTGATAGAATCAGGCGTTACTTTGCAACCTTCCGCTAACTAATTAGTTAACAAACATACTTAAGTAAACATACTTACATACATAATAAATTATTTATTGTGTAAGTATGTTTATTTCGACCAGGAAGGGGAAAAATAAAACAATAGTAATATGAAAGAAACATTGTTTTTATTTTAATAACCTTTTTGTTGAGTCAATTTTTTGAAATATTGCCGTTTACTGTCCACCGTTTTGGAAATTGTTTCCAATTTAGAAATATGGTGGAAACGAATTGATAAATATTTTTCAATTATGCATCTTATTAAGCTTATTTTATGCTCAGTCTCCAATTTAGAGAAAACGTTGTCAGTACCAATAAATCGTTTTAACCATTTCACTGTCCCATGAGTCATATATGAACATTTCGATTGTTTAACTATTATGTCTATTTCGCGGACAGGGAAGTTTTTTAAAATATTAATAACTGATTTGTGTTGGTTTTCAGTAACTATGCTTTCATTACATAATTTACGTACAACAGTTTCACAAATTACGCAAATTTCAAAAAGGTCTTTCGACGGAAAGATTAGCCACCTTTATCTTTTAAAGATATCAGTTTATGGAAGTCAAATATCTCATCCGACTGTAAGCGAGCTAGACACGTTTGACACTTAATGACCCTTGACAAGTAATGCGCTGTACTTCCTGATATATATCCGATAATGTAATTATTTCGGATGGGGAACCTTAAAAATATAGATTTTTGAAGTGGTGATAAAACATGGAAAAACTAAAAAATAATGAGTATTTACACTTAAAATAATTTTATAAATATTATAAGTAAAATAGAAATACATTAAATAGAATTACATTAAGTTTCGCGTAACATTAATAAATTACCGAATAAATGGGGACTACTGTGACGCTCACTAGTGGCAGCACTTGTCGACGTTTTATGTTCGAAGCTGTCAGAATAAATAATAAACATGATTAATTAAAAATTTGGATTTTTATGTATACTTACGTATGAAATGTGATTCCATCCTGTTTTTTATTTCTGGAAGATTGGTTTTTACACCCTTTCATAACACAATTCGGCATTTTTTCTTTAAAAACTGCGAATTATTATAACGTGACACTCCGTGCGCTGGAATAGCTTGAATGAGAAGCTAAGGCGTAGTTTCGTTATATTTGTGTGCGTGAAACTGTGTATGTACAAGGCGAGGCGTAGTTTTACCTGCCTCAGTGCGTTGTTCGACGGGGCTCTGTCTTGAGTTTTTATTTCGTTTGAGTTTAAAGGTCGGCAAAGCTTAATGTGACCATATTACCCTCACGTACCTTCGAAACATTTTAATTATTTATTTTCTTATTTATTTTTAAAACTTAATGTTACACTTTAAAACTTAATGTTACACTTTAAAGCTAGATTCACATATACAAGGCGGATCTAATGCCATGAGGCACTCCCTGCCAGTCAATCCAGGGCGCTGAAGACAATTTTAATATGACTGTATTATGTGTTGGTTATAGTGTTGCCAGGCGGATTTATAATATAGCGTTCCTCTGTCTCTTAAATTATTATTTACCGTTGGCAATGAGAATGCTTTTTCACCATATTCAAGAGAACAAGGATACGCTGACGCATCGTTATAAGCTGTATAAGAGAAAAATGTAGCTTATGTAGATGGGGAGCAGTGTCATCCTAACATTACTCAGCTAGTAATCCGCTTATGAGGTAGTTCATGGGGGAGGCCTTTAGACAGCAGTGGACTTTTATAGGCTATTTTGATGATGATGAAGAGGATAGTATAATATAGGTGCATATTCAAAATATTTAGATGGGCATTAATTATATTTATATGGATTTCGAATAATTTTAAAGTGTTAGAGTCACGCTGCAAAGTTAAGTTTATAGTTGCAACGAGAATGGTTCGGCTGCGAAGGGGAAGGACCACGCTTTAAATGAATCGATCAAAATATTTTAGCAACAAAATACAATATAAGAACGAATATTATACTTATACTCCTGTAAAATATGCAGATTATACAGTGACGTATAATCAGAGGGGTATCTGCACGAATTCATCAGTACATCTTTTGAAAGGCCACGCTCTCGCAGAATACCAGCATGAAATGTCGGTATGTCGGCGGTACCTTCAGGATCACAAGCTGATTAGTGACCGCCTGTACGGTTGCCGTCGCGGTTGCTCGGCTGGTGATCTTCTAGGTTACCTAACTCATAAATGGACGAAGGCAGTAGAATCCAAGATGGAGGCGTTGGCCGTTAGTTTGGACATAGCGAAGGCCTTCGATCGGGTTTGGAACAAAGCGCTTCTTACGAAGCTTCCTTCCTATGGGCTTCCCAAGAAATTGTGCAATTGGATCACCAGTTTTCTTGCTGATCGGAGCATCAAGGTCGTAGTAGACGGTGCATGCTTCAATTACAAACAATTTTTAAAAGGCCGGCAACGAATCTGCAATCCTCCTGGTGTTGCAGTTGCTCATGGGCGGCGGTAATCACTTACCATCAGGTGAGCCGCATGCTCCTTTGTCCCTCTCCTATAAAATAAAAAAGTATACTGTTTTGTATCTTGTAGTTCTACAATAGCTATAGGAGTATAGAGGACAAACCGTTTTTAATGATAGCAAGATAAGATGTTCCATCTTGGTCGTCGGTGATGACAATAAATCTGCATTTATGATTCTTAATGAAAGATCGAAGTAGAAAGTCTATATCATTTATCATGTAAATAACGTGGAACCCATTTCCTAATAGACTTTCTTAATCAGGATTAGGCTTGCAATTGTGGAGTTTGTGTAGAGTTTGCGATTTATTATTTTTTTTATTTTATTATTATTTTTATTATTTTGTATTGAGAGGGCTATGCTCGGAGTTTCACTGCGTGATAGACTCAGAAATGAGGATATCCGCAGTAAAACCAGAGTGACCGACATAGCCCAACGGATTAGTAAGCTGAAGTGGCAATGGGCCGGCCATATAGCTCGAAGAACCGATAACCGATGGGGAAGAAAGGCTCTCGAGTGGCAGCCTCGTACCGGTAGGCGTAGTGTAGGGCGACCCCCCACTAGATGGAGTGACGACCTGGTAAGACATGCAGGAAGTCGATGGATGCAGGTGGCTCAGGACCGTGCTTTGTGGCATTACTTGGGGGAGGCCTAAGTTCAGCAGTGGACTTGTGAAGGGCTGTAATGATGATGATGATGATGATGATGATAGAGTTTGCATAAAATGTCAATGTAATATAAATATAAAAAATATAATTGTAATTTTAGTCACGACTTTTCCACCTTTACGTATATTTTAACAGTCTCCTGCAAGACAAACCATCAATTCTCCAGTTCTCATGGAAACAGTAGTTGTTCTCATATCGTCAACTCTTTGCAAGAAACGATGGCCAGAGCACTATCACCATATCATCGACAAGTCAATGATTTGCGCTAAAGATGACGTCAATTCGGATACGATGGGCGCCATTTGCAACGTAAGTGTCTCACTTTGCAATAAACACTTGAACAGGAACGACAACTCACCACTTGAAACACATGAGCCATACTGTAACTATATTATTTAATATGAATGTCGACTCAATCGAAAAGGACCACGCTCTTATAGAACACCAGCGAGAGATAGCAGCTTTTTATTACTGTGTTTCGTATGTTGAGTGTGGAGAACTGCAGGCCCTTTTTACTGGAAACCAGGGATTAAATCTTAGTCCTCTAGGGTGACAACGCATTTGCATTTTGATTCTTAATCGAGGATAGATGTAAGTGTCTATGGGTTACAGCATCCACTTACACTCAGGTGGATTGCATGCTCATTGGACATCATTATTCTACAAAAAATTAAAAAAGTAAAACATGGTACACTTAGTGTTAGGCATTATAGAACAATTACAATATACTAAACAAAAAACCAACAGCTTTTAGTGTTTTTGACAGAGATTTTAACCCAATACCATATCCACCAAATTACTGTCACGCTATAGAAATTAAATTAATTAATTAAGGTGCGTGTTTGAGCGAAATGCCGCGCTAGTTGTTATTTGTGAGGTTTTTAGGAGCTAGATAGCTTGTTATTAAAAAGATATATTAACTAATAAAAAAATCTATTAAAATTCTACATAATCTTGATTCCATAATAGACAATTCCAATTTTTAAAAGGAGTAAATACTTCATGAATCTTCCTACAATGAAACCACAGAAATGCTAAATAATTACTGATAACATGGATCACTTCATAAAATCAGCATTATTTTATTTTGCGATTGACATTAATGGATGGGCAATATATTATTGAACATTTTTATCTATTTAATTTTTTCAAAGGACTAAAATTCGATTATATAAAGAAAATATTTTAAAATTTGGGCGTATTTCTTACGCGATATATTGTAGCGAGAGCGCGTGGAATGTATAGGACCGAACGCTCAAGATCGTTCGCTAGGAGTAGCGCCATTTTGTGAGTGAATGATTGGGGGATAATAATATATGGTGAATGAAGACGTTTTGCTGTTTCTAATCAAATCCTTTTTACGTCTTATTATAAAAATTTATTTAAGTGGAATAAGTCTTCTAATTAAAGTAACTTTTATTAATAAGGAATGTTTTAATAGTTTGTTTAAATGCATTGCCCTTACACTTAGACTCTTATGTTATTTGGTAGCTTTATGTTTATTTTAATTTACATTACTTAACTAGATGAAAATAATTTTAATTTTGAAAAGGACAATAATTAGAATCCTAAGTGTATATATAATTTTTGTAACTTCATACTCGTACATATGAATTTAATTAGTGTATAAAACTCTTTAACGTAGTGGTAAATATCCACTACTCCATACCGTCACGATGCGGTGGTGCCGTAAGAAGCGATAGAGGAAAAATGAAATAGAAGATGAGCAGCATCTTCCTGATAACAACTCAAAAATGTCATAAGTTTATTTGGTAGTATGTAATTGATTATTATAATATTATCACTAAAAATATAACCGCCGAGGTGTTTTTTTTTATAATAAATTATGTTTACATTATGAAACCCAATAGTGGTGGTGTAACAATGGGTATGTTCCGAAATACAACGCACTTTGACTTTGACACTTTATTGTACTAGCGTGCCACCGCCATATTGTGTCGGATATCCGGCCATAATAAAACAATTTTTAATTGTGTGTTTGCCGAATGAAGCATCCCAGAATTTGTTTCTATTTATTCAAATACAAAAAATTATAGAATAATTGATGGTATATCCATTAGGAGGATATAATGATTTTTGGAGCACAAAATGACAAAATAATCGCCAACACTTTTCCAAATGGCGCAAAAGTATGAAGTCATATACTGTCCAATGTTTTGGAACGAATCACCAGTATAGCGTCGATTCATGACGTCATTTGCATTGGACAGTACACTGCGTTGTATTTCGGAACATACCCAATATCTACTGCCCTACATCGTCCCGAGGCTATCGTAAGAGGTGACAGAGGGGAAAAATCATGTATGGCAAAATCTCCCATGAGGCAATCTATGTTTTTTTTTTAATTTTTAAAATACCATTATTCCTATATAAAAACACGCATTTATATATTATATATATACGATTTTACATTTATATAGGTATATTTTATGTTACATACTTATCTTAGGTACGTATATTATATTACAGTAAATATTTCTTTCTTTAATTAATACTTATTGTAGGTAGCACATGCTTTTCTAAGGAATGTATCTTTCAGTCTTCTCTTGTGGGATGCCAATGATCAGAAGTGGACTTTATAGGTTGTAATGGATGGATAAAAGTCTTATCAACGAACACTTTCGATAATTAAAGAAACGCAACTTTTTCTATTTTTTCTTGTTTTTAAACAAACTAAACATTTCAATTCTAAACTAGAAATATATATAATTACCATTTTATGTTACGTAATAATATCCTTTATTACAGGACCAATTAAGATGCAAAGAGTTGATTAGTTCAGAAGAGGATGGGATCGGCAAAAGAAGATCTCTTATACCTATGAACGAAGAAATTCACAGCGCTTCTCATTCATTCGATTTTAGAAGATCCAAAGTGAAATCTGGAGGGTTTTGTGAGGTTTTCTTACAAGCTATAAAACTTAGTTTCTCTACTCTTCACCATGTGGTACGAGTAGTGAGTTTTTTTTATATAGTTATGTAACTATATAAAAAACTTGCTACTCGTACCGCAGTATTTTTTTTAAATATGTAGTTATGTAACTATTTAAAAAAAACTCGCTGCGTCATTAATTTTATCTTTTATAATTCATTAATGATGACGATGATTTTGGTAATGATTTCGTTATAACATTTTTAATTCATAAGTCGAAGTGTCACACGAATTTACAGTTCATACAGGAACTTCATAACAGCGTAAAATAGCAGCTTAATGCTACTGTGTTGTTGGTAAGTGTAGAGAACTGGACACCCGTTTTACTGGAAACGAGGCACTCCATCTTAGACCTCTTGGGTGACAACGAATCTGCATTTTGATTCGTAATCGAGGATAGATGTAGAAGTCTATGGGCCACAGCAACCACTTACCATCAGGTAGACTGTGTGCTCGTTTGTCACCCTACCCTATAAAAAAATCATAGCTCCTAATATGTTGATAAACAGTCTACTTGCCTTACATCTTGCATACTGCCCCTCGCTGAAATAGTTTGGAGGATTTAGCTAACGCAGCTTATTTATTATTAGTTTATTCTTCAAAGTGATTAACATGGTTTGGTAAAATGTTTTTATAGAAGAGGGGGCAAACGAGCATGCGGCTCACCTGTAGGTGATTACCGCAGCTCATGAATAACCGCAAAACCAGGGAATTGCAGGTGCGTTGCCAGTCTTTTAGAAAGAAGTAAGCTTTATTCTTGAAGGTCCCTAAGACGTATCGGTCCGGAAAAATCGGCGATACACATTTCCACAGAGAAGTTGTACGAGGAAGAAATTTCCCACTAAAACGCACAGTGGTGGACCGCCAAGCATCCAGATGGTGAAGATGGTATCGTGAAATTTGGTGGTTGGAATTAATCCGAACAATTCCTCAGAGCACACCCCGTGGTAGATTCGATACAAAATGCAAAGGGATGCACAACATCCCTACGCAGCGCCAGTGAATCGAGCCGATCAGAAAGAAGTCGGTCGTCGACGATTCAAACCGCTCTGCGCTGAATGCAGTCAAGTAGAAGGAGCTGGCACTGGGGTGTCCCTGCACAGAGATGAACGCAGTATTCCATGTACGGCCGAACTTGTAGTTATATCACATTGAATCAATCCTACCGGTTTTTGAAGCCTGGATGCAGCTACGAGTAGGAAGACTCACCTACAGACTAAACTCACCTACAGACTAAAATACCGGGCACCGGTCCTTAGGTGATTATTTATGTAAGTTCGGATGCGAGGCGAAGGCAAACTGTTTCCACTGCAGTGGACGGAGCCAGGACTTCGCTTCCCATACGCTCGCGGTATTCCCAGCGTGGAAACTGGAGCGGAACAGCCTGATGAACCGCATCGGTTGGAACCTCCCCCTGCCAGTAGTCGCGTCGGTGATACTGAGCGGAGATTCGGCGTGGAGAGCCATAGCCACCTTCAGTAAATCCGGTATGATTCAGAAGGAGGGTTCTGAGTGAGATCGGGAGAGGGTGCATCCTGCTCGGAGACGAGGTTGCCAAGGCGTTCGTCACGGCCCTCTTCTTGAAAACGGTGTTCCCTACCAGAAACGGAGCCTGTGGGGTTGCAGACGTTCGGGCGAGAGCTCCGAACGCCTAGTTATGTAACACCCGAGGAGGTCGATGACTCGGAAGTGGTCATCCTGGTAGCACTGCGAGGGTGCTGGGGGTGGGGTTGCCAGATCTTAAATTCGAAAAGCCGGACAGAACATCGAGCTTAGCCGGACAGTTTTGTAAAACGGCCGAACACCCTTAACTTTTTTTTAGTATGACATGACAATTGTTTTCAAAGTAAAACAATGCTATTTATCACTTACCATAAAATCTACTTAAATTCTAATGAAACAACAATAAAATATATCAAATGAGTCTTCTAATTAAATATTATGCAGTATTATATATATAAATATATGAGAAATATAAAAAATGGTCAAATTTAAAAAGCCTAACATAAGCCGTCAGGCCGGACACCGTCTTACTTGGACACGCAACCAAACAGCCTGACTGTGTCCGGCTTTATGCGGACGTCTGGCAACACTAACTGGGGGCAGCAAGTATTACCCCGGGGACTTGAGTTTGGTATTAGTGTAGCAAAGCGATGGAGGGGTTCCGGTTGCGTTTCGAACGGAAATCCCGAGACCCCTCGTATACGCTGTTCGTGACCACCGTGGAGTTTTAGCCGGCAGGAGTCTGGCGTTGCCCTCGCAACGAATTTCCCCACGAAAAGAAGTCTGTATTCGTTACAGAGGCCGATTTGACTTGTCATTATTCATATTGCTCGGGAAGTATAAATTATAGTGACCTTATTAATAACATGATTCATAACATATATAACATTCTTTGTTGGAAGGTAGTTCCATGTATCCATGGGCTTCAGTAGCTACTTGTCACCGAGAGGATATAGTTTATTTGTCATTTTCATGTTATTAAAAATTTGTTGTTGAATGAATATTTTCCAGAACGATCACGGTGGCCCTCTAGTGGTAGGTCATGGTACAGGTGCAGTTGTGGTAGGAGTGATCTCAGCCTGCCTCACAGCAGACATAACTCGCAAGTGCTACGGACCGTTCCTCTATACCAGCGTTTATAGAAACAGACTTTTAATCACTTGCGCCATTGATAAGGACATTGTGTAAGTCAGCTGTTATATTTAGATTAGATGGGTATATGATCAAATACTTCAACACTACACAAATTTAAGATGTTAAATCTCGCTGTGTCATAGTTACTTTGACAGTGACTTAAAATGTTAGAGATAACATGAGATTTAAAGACATCTTAAAATTGAGAACGGTTTAAGTATTTGAGCATTAGATAACTATTTACTGTATTCTAAAACAAAAGAATGAACATGAGAAAAATAAAAAAAATGATCTATCTTGTTAGATCAGGCGCAAGTCAGATCTACACAATCGCTCTGTAACGTCGTAATACACTATTTAGTAATCTGTGGTAATGCTAATAGGTAATACACACTACAATGTTTATTCTGTGTTCTGTTCTCAATTTTAGTAGAGATAAACTATTGTTACTCTACTGTACCACATGTGTAAAGAATTTTTAGTCATATGACTATACTATGCTATGTTATATATAGTTTACAATTTTTATATTAATAAATAGACTATGGACCAAATATCGTCCCGTGGGTGTCGTAAAAGGTGACGGAGTGAAACAAACCAGGAAATGGGCAGCAGCGTAATAACAATTAAAAAAATAAAATTATGCAGTTGCCAACCTGCCTGCCATGCGTAATTCTGTAAAATAATCTCCTTATGAGGCAATATAAGGTAAGACATATGTTCACTAGTGGACTTTTATGTTGCTGTGATGGATGAATGGTCGGACTATGAAATTTTAAACTTTAGACCTTAAATTTATTATAATTCTTGCAATTCACAAGTACGGTCGACTTTTGTACGTGGTTCGACATGTACATGCACGGTGTGACAGTGTGCGTGCCTGGCGTGGTCAGCGGGCGTCCGCTCGCTTTTGACCGCTCCGCCAGGTACGCACACTATAACACTGTGCATGTACATGTCGAATCACGTACAAAGGTCGACCGCACTCGTAAATTACAAGAACTATACTTCTACAAATACCACTATTCTAAATGCTTACAGCGCCACGTGCAGAAAATTATTATTACGAACCACAAATACTCATCTGAATGAAACTATTATCAACTGGTCCGGACATCCTGATGGGTAAAACTTCGCTCTTTATATATTATCTAATAAGGAAGAATAATAAATTTGTGGGAGTTGCTGGTGCTGTTTTCGAAAAATATTATTATCACCATTACATTTCCCTAGATAGCATGCTTATACTTCTAGATAAATCTTAGTATTGTACGTGAGGGTAATATAGTCATCCGGTTAGTATGGTCACTTTCGTATAACACAAAAACTACAGCCTTTTTTGTATAGAGCTCTGTGATACGATAGCTCTTCATTAGTCAATCAAATAATAAAGGGTCAAAAGGGCGCTGCTTCATAAACGCCATTTTTGACAGTTGACATTTTAGTAAATATTTTAGTAGTTTTTAGAATTGTGTAGGTCGTTAGTTTTTTTTAGGTTGATTTTTCGAAGTGGCAACGCATCCGCATTTTGATTTTTAATCGAAGATAGATGTAGATGTTTATGAGCCACAGCATCCACTTACCATTAGGTGGATTGTGTGCCCGTTTGTCGCTCATATTATATAAAAATGTGTACGTGATACGTGTAAATAGGATCGTTGGTACGTCTTAATAGAGTAACTTTCAAATGACTTAATCGATTAAAGTCACACTCACAAAATATTTTGTTTTTTCAAGTCGACTGTTTATGCTCATACTAAGATAAGTTAGGCTAGATGGCGCTGTAGTCATGTTATTAAAAAATCTATATTTATGAACTTAAAATTATAATCGAGTGTCTGAGGAGAACCTTTGCGACGGAAACACAGACAGGCATCGAGTGGATCCCGATTTTGGCATGAAACACTAAAATGATGTTGATAAAGCAAATTCCTAGCAATAAGAAAAGCTAGTTATTCCATATAGAACTAAGAGCGTCATTATTCTCGCGACAGTTCGTTTCTTCATAACTTTTTTGACGCAAGAATAAAGATGTACGAGTACAACTTCTTGTCAAAATGCTAGCCACATCGGCAAGTAGTGCATCCTGCTAATTGAAAAACAAGTCTTTCGCTATCGGTATTTGAAAACGTGTAACCCAAGTTCAACTTGCCAGGGAACAGAATTACTAGTGCGTTGGCATTGGCATTGCACAGGGAAATGCCCGAAACATCTTCTGCCTTCCGATTGATAGCTGTATACCATCTCGTTTACGCCAGACGGAAATACCCAGACTGACGACCATGGAGTGTAAAGGTAAGGAGAACCATCTCACATAGAAGAATACTTCCAAAAGTATCCATTTGTAAGTAGTAAATAATAGTTCAAAAACTCTCCACAACTGCGCTGGAGTAGCTAGAGGGTATGAAATTAACTTAGCAGTTGTCGACGGAGTGAAGTGTGCTGAGTTGAGGAATTTAATATTTGTGGTAATTGTTGTAGTAGTTGATGAAATTGCTGTATTCAAAACCTCAACAACTCACGTTGTCTAAAATAATTTAGTAAATATTACCTAGAAAAAGTCTCCGTGAAACACGTTGAAAGTGATTATGAAAATAAAAATTTTGAAAACAATAAAATTACTATTATAAAAAAGAGTTATGGTGAAAGTCGGTGCAATAAAAAGTTATAAAAAGTTCTTTAAAATTTACTCTATAGCTACAGTGGCGCCACCCTTATTTAATGCTTTCCTATGGACATTTTTAATACAGAGACAGTTCTCCTTACCTCGATACTCCATCCTGACGACGATCATTAACGTCAAAGGTGCGACATGTATCTATTGCGATTGTTAATCTACCAGCCAAGGTTGACTGAAGGACAACCCAGACTATGATAATAAGTCTGCAGCTGAGGTTGGCATTTTGGACAAACATTCTTACATTTCCCTTTTTATCTTCTCATCACATTTTTCAGGCCAGCAAAATCCGAGAAGACCTCAAAGCCCAAAATCAAAAACCAACCAAGAAAAGGAGTTAGAGAAAAAACTAATTAGAAATAAAATATGTTAATTTTCCTTATTTGTTTCTTTTTTTTCTCAACCATTTCCTGAAAAAGATATGATTAAGTGTAAGCCGTGTGGTGGCGACGAAAGAGAATTCACCTCCCTATTTCGTCTCGTGGGTGTCATAAAAATTTATTAAAAAAAAATGTTACCCCTCCTAGTGTAGGGGTAACGTTTTTTTTTTATTCTGTATCGTGGAGGCAGTTTACATACGTAGATATCACAAAGACAAACATCTAGACACAGAACAATTATTTGTGGACTAAATAATATGTAATGTAATGTGTTGTTCCGTGCGGTATTCGAACCGGCGGGCATCAGCACCACAACTCATAACCACAGAACTGTCCAAAGGTGATAATAGGATGTCAAAAATATTTGATGACTTCCAATAGATGGAGATATAGCCATCTCTAGTCATGTCCAATAGTACACTTTTGTGGGCTGATGAGCAATATAAAGGAAACTAAATAAATATGGCAGTGAAGGTAAGCCCCATATTTTAAAATCTGGTGACAGCATAGGAGTATTTGTTACACAATCTCTTATTTAAATGTCACAGCTAGACTAGAAGTAATGTTAGTAAGATCTTGAATCTTTTCGCACTAGATTTAAAATGAGTTATCACGTACATGACCGTATAACTCTTCAGTATGAATAGGTTGGCTCAACCGCAAAAAGACCACAGTAGCACAGAACACCAGCGTAAAATGTGCGTGAAGTGCTTTTCGTATGGATAGTGTCAAAAACCGGAGACCCTTTTTGCAAGTAACAAGACACTTAATCTTTGTCCTTAGGGGTCTTATAATAATTATTCATCGACAATGAATGTATGTAGCTGTCTATGGCCACAGCATGCCAAATATCGTCAGGTAGGCTGTGTCGTTTGTCTGTTTGTTTGTGGTAGCGATATCACATAGAAGTCGTGCGATGAAAAAAACTTGTAAATATAGCCTAGAGCAGTTCTGGAATTCTACCCTATCTTTTCGTGATGTTTCATTACAGCCGCGCCGTAATAAGCCCGTACAGACAAACAAACAGACAAAAAAGTTATTCATGTACATAATGGCATGCAAAGAACACCGTCATTTATATAAGTCAGTTACTTCCATTTTAATAGAAAGACACTTCAACTTCATTTATTTATATGTACCTACTTCGCACTTCATGTTCTTTTATTACGAAAATTAAATTCATTTTATTTATATATATATATATATATATATATATATATATATATATATATATATATATATATATATATATTAAACAATCTATCGACGGATTCAACTCGGCTGGGCAGCGTTCGGGAAATTACGACACATCTTCTCGTCAGGTGTACCTCAATCGCTGAAAACTAAAGTGTACAACCAGTGCGTGTTGCCAGTGATGACTTACGGATCAGAGACGTGGTCCTTCAGTGCTGGCCGTATGAGGACGCTCAAGGTCGCTCAGCGAGCTATGGAGAGGGCTATGCTCGGAGTTTCTCTGCGTGATAGACTCAGAAATGAGAATATCCGCAGTAAAACCAGAGTGACCGACATAGCCCAACAGATTAGTAAGCTGAAGTGACAATGGGCCGGCCATATAGCTCGAGGAACCGATAACCGATGGGGAAGAAAGGCTCTCGAGTGGCAGCCTCGTACCGGTAGGCGTAGTGTAGGGCGACCCCCCACTAGATGGAGTGACGACCTGGTAAGACATGCAGGAAGTCGATGGATGCAGGTGGCTCAGGACCCTGCTTTGTGGCATTACTTGGGGGAGGCCTATGTTTAGGAGTGGACTTGTGAAGGGCTGTAATGAATTATTGTAAGTATTATATGTATATATACGTATAATGACAGATTACATTTGTCATAACTGACATCAGTGACGAGGAACAGCCTTATGCTTATACTGCAGTTTTGCGCTAAAAGGATTATAGAGGAATTGTCGTGTACTAAAATTACAAATGATAATCGCACATCATAGTGGTCTGAACACGAAACTACTGAATCAGGGTCCATACCCTGGGTTAGAATCGAAACAGTTTGTGCAGAAACACAAATTGTAATTTTGCTTTGTACTTACGATCTTATTGCATCATGAGAGCGTACACTTGCGGACCCTAGTTTGGTATTCAAGCCAGAGCCAACATTTTTTTATGCAAAATGACAAATATTTAATTTTACCCTGCTACTTACAATTGCATTAACGCGTTTATTTATATTAATATAGTTGAAATTGTTTGGAAAACTTCCGGGAGTATTTGAAAGTTGCTATTTGAATATTTGTTTCCGGCAGTAGTTGTCGGCTAGGAGTACATCACACCATAAAATTATTAAAGTGATTAATTTTTTTTATGCAACAACCACTATATTTTCAGAGATTTTGCTGTAAAATTTCTAACTTTAAGTAATCTAAATTTAAGGACGTCTTAAACAGAAAACCTGCAATGCTACTGACTGGACTAAGATGGAGACAGAACATTACTTTACACCGCTGCTTGGACAACTTGATCTTTCTTACAGATAGAAGAGAAGCCTGCTACCACCATGTAGCATATTAATTCAAACTTAATATAGTATTACAACAATTGCCGAATCTATACGTACCGGGTGTTTGGTGGGTGGTCCGACAAACTGAAATGGGAGATAGATGGGTTCGTTAGAAGCATATTTTCTTAGTAAATTTTTTTTCTATCTCTTACCATTTTTTTTGAATGAATTTTTAACATTTTTTGTAATTATCCCAATTTTCTAGTATTTTGGTTCAATAACTTCTACTATATCTAGTTTTCTACCATTTTTTTTATTTTTCATAAGAAATATGATTTTTTTAATTAAAAGAAAGATTTAAAGCCCAAAATGCATAAGAAAAAATACTTACGACACATTAAAAGTGAACAAACGAGAAAAAAATTGTAAGCACTTAAGTAATCGTTATGGAAATTGTGTAGCGTATCTTCGTTTCAAATTTAGTCTTTGTTTCACTAAAATCGGTTTATCCTATCAAAATTTATGATTTATATTCTCAAGCGTGGGTACGAATTTGTTCAATGTTAGCGTTGAGTGATCAAGGACATTTTTCTAATTAAATAATGTTAAAATTTGTTCTATAATGATAAAATTGTATGTAAACTGCAGCAAACAAAAATAATAAAGAGTAACGTTATAAATATTTATCATCATAATCATCATTACAGCCCTTTACAAGTCCACTGCTGAACTGTAATTCCATCATCGCCTGGGGCTACCGTTTTTAAGGTGCTGGAAATCCATTCTAACCTCGCTCAGACTGACGTCCGGGATATCATCGGAATAGTGCTCTTGGATCGTTTTACTCACACTTGCGTGTGACTCCAACGATGATGTGTACAGCTGCCCAAAGAACCTCTCAATCTCACTCAAAATCTCAGGTGTCCCGGAAACGTTGCTGCCACACTCAGTCTTCAGCTTTGACAGTTGGCTCTTTCTGGCAGACAGATCTCTGGCAAAGACTTTGGAGCCCTGGTTCCGCTCGATCGCTTCTTTAATATGAGCAGTATTAAAGTTGCGTAAGTCTCGCCGCATGCATTTGGAGATCTGTCTGTTCAGTTCAGTCTGCCTGTATGCTGTCAAATCTGTTGACGATTGTAGCCTCATCTCCCGTCTAACAGGCAGGGGATTAAGAGTGTGATCGGAGAGTTTTTGTGTTCTTCTGCGGCGGGTCTTGCAGAACTTAGCTCCAACCGCATGGACAGTTTCCACGGGCTTGTCATTCATATCGTCCACTGCATTGCAATCTTCTAGGCACAGAAAGCGGTTACGTAACTCGAGTTGAAAGGTTTCGGGGTTCTGGATTAGATCATGAGGGGGACGGAGCGTTGACTTCATTGGACGAGACCTCTCCAACTTAACGTTAAGGTTCAGTGTGCCTCTAATCATTCGGTGATCGCTGCTAGTTTTCACCCTTGCGGTCACTGAGATATCACTGAACAGTTGGCGTCTGGTCGTCATAATGAAGTCAATCTCATTTTACGTCGAACCGTCGAGACTCGACCAGGTCCACTTTCTGTGGGGCCGCTTCTGGAAGAAAGAGTTCATCATAAAAAGTCCCTCTTTCTCCATGAAGTCGGCCAGCTGCTGACCCCTTGGGTTCCGTTGCCCTATCCCAAATTTCCCTACCTTCAGCTCACTGTTCTTTCTTGTGCCCAGTTTTGCGTTGAAGTTTCCCATTAACACCGTATGGTGAGTTTTGGAGGAAAGCATGGCTCTAGAAATATCCTCATATATTTCCTCCACCTCCTCATCGGGAAGTTCCGACGTTGGCGCGTAAACCTGTATGACCTTCAGCGAATACCGTTTGGTGATTCTGACTATAATAAAGTACGCAACCCTTGTCGATACACTCCCAATCTTTTAAAACATTGTTAACGAGAGACTTTGGACGATAAATCCAACACCTCCTTGGGACAAATGGTCGCCCTCCCGGTGATAGAACTAGTTGCCGGATTCGAGAATCACCGTGTCCTCCCCTCTCTTCGGACCTCGGATGATCCTATAATATTCCAGCGCAACTTTTCTATTTCTTCTTCCAGCTCCAGGATCTAATAATAATAAATATTTATAAAAATATATAAATCCTAATATCTTAGTTAAAAAAGTACAATAGTTCACCAATGTCATCGATAGATGGTGTTGTGCAAATTATTAACAAATCTACTTTCCTAAAGTTTTAAAATTTACATTGTCGTGAAATTGAAAAATTACATTACCCGATTTAGAGTTTTTTTTTTAATATTATTCCTACCCGTTCTTTTCTAAATTATAATAATTTTAAATACCATAATTAAGGTTTAATTATAAATGAAGGAATATATACATAATACATAATATGTGAATAACTCAGTGACATACATATATTACTAGCGTAAGGACCGAGCCGACCGAACAACCAAAACGGACCAGTGCGCTGGCCCTAAAATTACAGTTTAGGGCCAACGCGACTCGGACGACAGTGGTGCGCGTGCA